CACACACATGAGAATCCAAACGAGCCAATAGAACTAACTCGCTCTGCCTTGCACAGCGCGCTGAGCGGGGCACTTGGGATCCCACCGTGCGCACTGGGGGTTGGGTTGGGGCTTCGGAGTGAGGCAGGGATCGTATCCTGGCTCTTGTCACTCCGCTGCTGCTGGGAGAGTCCCTGCCACGCTCTGTGCCTCTATTTCACCCAGATCCCTTTTACGGTTGCAAAGCTGAACAAAGATTCTGGATTCTCAATTCGTGTCCATTTGGGCACCCGAACCCCTTAGGCGCCTTTGGAGACATCCCGGCCTTGGGCGCTCGGAGCTTTGTGCACAGGAGGGTCTCACGGGCCTAAACTGGGTTGGCCCCTCTCGAGGTCATTGTCACACAGACCCCATTGGCCTGAGGCCTTTGACACTGCAGGTGGGAGTCCCCCACTCGGAGCTGAGTCCCACCCATCGAGTGATTGGTCCTCCTGTCCCTAGGTCCTGGTCCCGGGATCGCTCCTTTCCGCAAGCTGCAGCCCTCGGGCCCTGCTTGCACCAGGTCTCGCGGGATTTGAAGAGGAGATTCAGGCGCCTTCATGGACTGAGCCTCGCACCGCCGAACGCAGCGATGCCGGGTCACCAGGAACCTCTCCGTCCGAACACCTGGAAACTGCTGGTCTGTATCCTCCTGTCCCTAGGTCCTGGTCCCGGGATCGCTCCTTTCCGCAAGCTGCAGCCCTCGGGCCCTGCTTGCACCAGGTCTCGCGGGATTTGAAGAGGAGATTCAGGCGCCTTCATGGACTGAGCCTCGCACCGCCGAACGCAGCGATGCCGGGTCACCAGGAACCTCTCCGTCCGAACACCTGGAAACTGCTGGTCTGTAGCTGCCTGGGGAATCAAACAGGCACCGAGCGGGCTTCTCAGAATTAGCTGGGTGTCTAAATCCCATAGAGCTCAGTACAGGCTGGGTGTTCTTAAAGGTCACTAAGCACAAACCTGTTTCTTTATGGTCCCCGATAGTAAAGGCCCCGGCCCGGTAGATAGCCCGACAGTTCGGTGTCCAAATTGCAGCAAAGCAGAAAGAAATGAAATTTCTGTTCCTAACTCCCTTAGGTCACTCTCGCAGGGTCAGAGAGTTAAGGGCCCGGTCTGAGCTGTGGCATGGCACAAGCCAGAGAGCGGTACCGGTCTGAGACTCTCAGCCTGGCTGGCCCTGCGCTCCCCACTGACTCCCCATTGCCCGTGACACCTTGGCCACGAGCTTGCACCCTGCTCCCTGCAGTGATGCGGAACCTTCCAGGCTGAGGTGCCGGGCAGCGCGGGCACCCTCCGTCCCGTTCCTAACGAGGGGTCTGATTCAATCTTCGGTTTGCGAAGGAGCCATAGAAACAAACCCACATGCAGGTCAATAATTGTGGGTGTGACCCAGCCCCCAGCCCAGGGGCCCTTCATACACCGCAAAGGATCCAGGCACCAAGGCTCAGCCTCCCAGGGAGGGAGACAAAGGAAGGAGGGTGGAGACCAGACCCTGGCAGGGCTGGGAGAGAGTTTTAGTTTCTGGCTGGAATCATAGAGGAGGCAGCCTAGGCAAGGGGCTGGGATTTAGGGGCCCAGGCTCCCCCATCTCAAGGGGGGCTGGGGCATCCTAGGCCTGACCCTGTAACTGGATTACATCTGTGCTGTGCTGTATCCTGGAGAAGCAATAAACTCCCTCTATTCTACTGGCTGGGGGGAACTGTTGGTTGCCCT